TGTGTTTGTGTGCGCGTTTTGCGTGCGTGCGTGTGTTGTGATTCGATAGGTCGACGTTGCCAGACGTCCGCCAGGACGAACGACTGCACGCGGTGCAGCGCGGTGCGCATGCACGCCACTGTCGGCCGGCACAGCACGTCGTGTGTACCGAATTAAAGTGGACACAAGAATGATGCGGATGCGCGCAGAGCACGGAGAAAAATGATCGGGAATACGCTGGCGTTTGTGAAGCTTGTGCTCGAGCTTGTGTCTCTCGGGGCTTCCGTCCAGCGAATTTACGCCGAGATTTACGCCCCGTTTTCGTGGCAGACAACGAGAGTAGAGTGAAGACCTTGGTTGGGAAGTCGCAGACAGACATCTGGGACTCCCGCCTTGCTGGACTCTCTGGATTGAGTATCGAGTAGAGCCACGCCCAACGTCCGCCTGAAATGGCAGGCACTTCCAGGTTCGCGACAGTGTACGTACGCGTTGCGTTGACGCGTGGCTGATACAGTGGTCTCGCCGTCTGCGCGGCGCCATCTCCAAGAATCCAAACAATTCCGCTGCTGGCACACCAGACGACGGGGCGCTGCACCACGCAGCCAGCGCCATGCAGCCGTGTCCAACGACCCCGTGGTGCACGCGCCGCGATACGCGGCAAGTAGTACGAAGCCAGCCACGATCAGTTGTGGTCTAGCCCGTAATGGTAATGGTAATTGCGGGTAGGCAACTTGAAGGACGGCGTGCACCCGCGTCGGCCGGGTTGCCTCCTGGCGGGGTAGGCAACTTGAAGGACGGCGTGCACCCGCGTCGGCCGGGTTGCCTCCTGGCGGGGTAGGCAACTTGAAGGACGGCGTGCACCCGCGTCGGCCGGGTTGCCTACCCGACGTTGGTTAGGCGCTCCAGCCTGGCGGGGTAGGCAACTTGAAGGACGGCGTGCACCCGCGTCGGCCGGGTCGCCTACCCGACGTCGTTTAGGCGCTCCGGTGCGCGTGGTCATAGGCAAACATGGTCTTTTACCGGTCCCAGACGCGCCGCTTCTCATCTGTGTCGCATCCAGAACGTCACACTACTGTGCCACATATTCGCAAACAATGTCGCGTCTCACTCCCCCTGTGTGCTTTCGATATCTCGAACCGTATCGTGCTTATCGAGGGCCCTCGCCTCGGCGCGTGGGTCGCGCTCGCCGCGCTCGCCTCGAGAGGCCGGCAGAGATAAACCACGGCGAAAACGAAACCGCCCTCACACCGCCCTGAAGGCCTAAAACGCCGAAAGCCCGGGCATTTACGTAGGAAACAACGCCTCGCAGGCCGGTGCGTGGAACTTCGTGTGTTCCTGCACCTTAGAAGGCTGGCTAAATCAACGGGAATCACAAAGTAGTTTTTGTCTGACGGCGCGTTTGACAGTCAGTCAATCAGCTAGACTCGCGTTGAGGTTGCCCGGTTGCCCTGCATTTGCGCGCCTCTCGCTCCGACGGTGTAGTGGTGGCGGAAGCAAAGCAAGCAAAGCACGCCAGCGAGGCAAGAAGGTCTCCTGTCCTTATACAGCGAGTCGGGTACTCGCCGCGGCGCGCCCACCGGCATGCAGTGTAGCTGCTCAACGCACGCACTGCGAAAAGAAAAGGAGTTGTCCGAGTGAGTAATTGCTGCCGAGCCCGGTGTGCGCTGCTAAAACCAAGGCGTACAGTACGGCCGGGAAACGCTTTCAGCGAATTCGTGCAGACTGATTGATTAAACGCAGCGGCTTAGTAATCTGTCAGCTTCGGGCGTCGATTGAAAAGACCCTTCGTTTACTCTCTTAGTGTTTGCTCGCCACTGTGAGACTTTGCAAGCCACGCGCTCTCTGTGTTGTTGTCATCACAAGACGCGGCCGGCCGGGCGAGGCAGTATACTGCGACGTTATAACCGTAGCGCTGTGGGGTCGGGGCAGCGCGACAGCGCCACTCGAAATGTCACGGCCGTGCCGCGCCGTGCCGCGGGATTCCCGCCCCCGCGCTATTCACCCGAATTCATATCGTGGACACGCGGTCGCAGCATAGCAGACAAAAGTTGTTTTTCCGGGGGTGCGTGTTTGTTTGTGTTGGTACGCTTTTATGACGAGCGGGCTGTTGCGACGCCGGGGCTAGTTGTGAAGCCGGGGAGGAGCATAAAAATATCTTGTCACTTTATGACAAAATCGTTGATGAGATTGGCATCACATGAAGACAATGTCTTGATGAATGGGTGCACATAGTCATCATCAAAGCTGTGTTTTATAGTAAACGACGGCTGAATGATGGTCTTGATGTTAATCTTCTGCGAACATTTTTCGATCAATACTTTATGAACAATCGGAAGTGGAGAGTGAGTCTTCTCCGCGAAGTGGCCACCGACTCCCTTTGTCCATGCTGGTGCTGCTGGTGCTCCGCGCCGCCTAGTGGCCGAGCGCGGTGCCTCGCCGGCCGGCGCCGCCACGCCACGCCACGCCGCGCCGCGTCGATGGCTGCGGGCACGGCGGGCACGGCGGGCCGTGCTCCGTGTATGGAGCTGGCCCGACGTGTTGTAATGCCGCGCTGCTCGCTGGACCCATGCCGGCCCGTGCGGCCCGTGCCCCGCGGTATGGGCGGGCCTTGAACTTGCCCGCGGTGAACACGGCGTGGCGCGGCAGGAGTCGGAGCTGGTGGAGCCGGCCGAGGAGGGAGGGGACCGGCGGGGACCCCGGAGGGGACGGTGCTTGGACGTACATGGCTTGCGCCGGCTCCTCGCCTCTTCCGCGTGCAAGTGACCCCCCCCCCCTCCCCTCCCACTTCCCCCTGTCTCGGTGCGACCCGCGCGGCTCTGCCGCTGCCCCATCGCTCAGACGCCGCCATGTCACTGAACACTGATACCGGACATTATGTACATTACAATTCTTCTTCCCGAAAAAAAAAAAAGATTGGTTGGTCGAACCGACCAGTGGAAACCTCGCGAAGGAATTTGTTTGTTGTACAATAGAGCTACGGAAGCATAGCTTCGCAATGCGAAAGAAATGGAGGCATTGTAAAATCTGCGAAGCAAATTTCTTTGGGTTTCAAAGGATTTCTTTTTCGATGCAATGCTCCCATTCCTGTTTTTCTTGTTGTCACGAAGAAGATTCTTCGTGGACTCTTTCACAAGTGAGCGAAGTAATTTCTTCGCATGCTCGGTCGTATCAGAATTTTGTGGTCGCAGAATTTTTTGCTGCTGTGCTCTGCGCGCTGAATGTTGCATTAGTTTGCCGCGCCTGATGCGCCCCGCGGCCGCACGGTCAAAATAGACCGCGCGGGGGCGGTGCCGGCGGTGCCGGCGGTGGGCGCTTCGGAAACGACTCTGGCGGAACCTGGCACGCCGCGGCTATGGGCTTCTTGACGTCAAGTGACGCGCCGTGCGCGGTGCTCTCCACGACGGCCTGATGCCGAACATGTGTTCCGTCGGCGTGTCTCGCTCGCACCCCTCCGGAACGCCCCATGAGTGGCACAAAGTGATGAAAGCTATGTTCCGAATGAGCGCGGGGCAGCGCGCACCCAACGCGTTCCTTGACGAAGACGCCTTGGCGATGCCTTGGGGATGCCTTGGGGATGCCACAGGTTGAGCAGAACCGCCGCGTTTCGGCCGCATTCCTGGTGGCTGACGGAACCCCCCTCGAGGCCCCTGGCCCCCAGGGCCTGGGCCCCGGCCTGGGGGCGTGGTCGCGCCGGGGTTGGGGCAGGGTCTGGGACAAGACGGTCTTCTGGGACCGTGACACTGTGACCCACATGGGGCTGCGGCCGCCACGGCCGTCACGGCGCGCGGGGTGCCAGCGGCGGGGCAGTGGCGTAGCCACAGCCACCCTGTGCCCTCGGTTTATTCTGGAGAGAAGAGCGAACAGAAGCTCTTGTTTGTGACATGTTTGCGTCGTTCACTTCTCTTTCTTATTTATTTTCTTTCCGTGGTGCATTGTTCTGGTGTGTTTTGGTGGTGCCTGAGCGCGACGCCCGCCCGCCCGCAATCGGCGGAAGTGTTTTGTTGTTCGCGCGATGTAGGGCAGGCAGGAGCCGGGGCCGGCGTGGTCGTGTACTGTAGTTGACTGTGCCGATCACCCCATCGGAAACGCTACCCTCCTCGAAAAGTGGATTCTTAATCGATGGAACGACACTCAAGTTCAACTAACGTATGCAGTCGATCGTTTGGTTTGGCTGTCTTCGGCTTACTTGGCGGACCTGGGCGGCGCCGCCCCTCCTCAACCTTGGGGCCCTGCTCGGCTGGCCGGCCTGACGGCTCGCTGGGCCGGGGGTTTCCGCCGCCACCCCACCCCTTTTTCCCCCTTTGAGTGAAAGGGTTGCATTGCAGTGTGTCAGTCTCGGCTGGCGGTCGGCCGCGCGGCGCGCTATAGTTAGCACTACAAGAGCCGCCGTGCTCCAAACCTGTGCGGTTCTCAGGATGGGGCCGCAGCCATGGGGCGCGGCAGCCAGGCGCGGTTTAAGGAGGGAGCCCCCGGCAGGGAGGGCGATTGTGTATATTTTGCAGGGGCATGTGATGCTGGTTGCCTACTATCAGGCGTTTAGGGAATCTCACAGGGGGGGCGGTCGCCCCTTCGACCCCCCCCCCCCCCCCAAACCGCGCCTGGCAGCAGCCACCGTGGCCGTGATGGGCCGACGCGACGGGCCGCCACCATTAGGGGAGAGTGGAGTTCGTTCGTGTCGCGACTGTACCGCGAAGGCTGGGTTCGGTTGGCTTGCGCTGGTCAGCTGGTCACGAGTAGGAGGGGTGAGTGGGCGTGTGTGGTACTCTTCTTCCCTTTCTTTACTCCGTAGAAGAGTATTGAAATTGATCGTTCAGTAGCCGATCCGGGAAGGGATTCCTTTAGGTGTGTGCGTGTGGGGGAAGGGAGAGCCAAATTACCACTCTGTGGCTGGGCCGAGTGGTGCTCCCATCGTGCGCCCCAACCCCCCTCGATTTGCGTTAGTGGTATCGTAACGCCCTTTCGCCCTGTCTTGCTGCCTGTTTGTTGATGCTCTTTCCTGATGTGCGTGTTACCTGTTGCAGGGATACATCGGCGACTGTGAGCAAGATGAAATCCCCATGCTGGTGTCGGCCAGAAACAATGGTGCCACTCCTCTCCTCATGGCATGCAGGAATGGGCATTTTGATGTGGCCGAATACCTCATCGAGCATTGTCACGCGGACATCGAGCAGCGAGGATCAGGTGAGCAAAACGGACTTTGGTTCTTGGTGTTCTTTAGTTGTGGAGACGTCTGTGACCTGACAGTTTTATTTTTTTCGTGACTTATTCTCGCAATGAATGTCTAACATATTTTCTAAATTTGCTGTGTTTTTTCCCTTGCCAGTGGTGTTTGACGGGGAGACCATAGAAGGTGCCCCACCCCTGTGGTGCGCGGCGGCGGCTGGCCACTTTCGGCTAGTGATGCTGCTGCTGAACCACGGGGCGCGAGTCAACAGCACAACGCGCAGCAACTCAACGCCCCTCAGGGCCGCGTGTTACGACGGACACTATTCCATTGTGCACACACTTATCGAACATGGAGCAGGTGAGCCCGTGTGAATTTTCCTGCGTTGTTGTCGGGTTTACATGACTAAAAGTTTCTTAAATATGTGCCATCCTATTACAGATTTTGAGATTGCAAATCGACATGGTCACACATGCTTGATGATCGCATGTTACAAGGGCCACAAGGCAATTGCCAACTTTTTGGTTTCCCTTGGAGCTGATGTGAACAGACGGAGTGTTAAAGGGAATACAGCTTTGCACGATTGTGCTGAATCCGGATCATTGGATATCTTAATACTACTTTTGAGTCATAATGCAAAAATGGATGTTGATTCATATGGTAATTTGTTGATTATTATTATGATCATGTCTCGTATGTTGTTGTGCCGCTCTAAAATTATTTTTTTAAATATATATGTTCTGCAGGTATGACTCCTTTGTTAACTGCAAGTGTAACAGGGCATGCACATGTAGTTCAGTACCTGATAGAACAAGAAAATCTAGTATCACAGAAAGAGAAGGTAGATGCCCTGGAACTACTTGGAGCCACATATGTTGATAAAAAACGAGACATGGTGGGAGCATTAAACTACTGGAAATCAGCAATGAATGAAAGGTTAGCACATTGGGACCATTTCAAATAAATCCCACTAGGCTTCTGCAGATTAAGATTTAAAATTTCAATGAATTTTGATTAAACAAACGAAAAAAGTTCTACTGACAAGCTTTTGCCCAACAGGTACAATGGTAGGAATGAGCTTCCCAAGCCTTTCCAAAAGTCAACTGTTGAAGCCTATGACCATGTGAAGGAAATAAGAGAACCTCACCAATTAGATGACTTACTCTCTGACCCAGATGAAATGAGGATGCAAGTAAGTTTCTACAAATGTTTTTATGTTGCTTGGTCTTACAATTTGGATGCAAATTTAAACAATTTCTTTTCCCTTTGCAGGCTCTTGTAATACGAGAGCGCATCCTTGGTCCAGCACATCCTGACACATCTTATTATGTGCGGTTTCGAGGTGCATTTTATGCTGATACAGGCCAATTTGGCAGATGTGTGTCATTATGGGGCTATGCATTAGACATGCAGCAAAGGATGCTGGAGCCTCTTAATCCAATGACCCAGAGCTCTTTCTTTTCATTCACGGAACTATTCTCATATATGATGGGGGAGGAAGGGAGAATACCAGCAAGAGGCAGAAGAGTTCCTCCAGTTTCCTTTAATGATCTTGTAAGTTTGATTATCCTGTCATTTTTTTTAATGATAAAAAGACGGGTTTTTGTTTCTAATGATACATTCTACTTACTTCTATTGATTTTAATTTTTCAGATAACTGTCTTTGACAAGGCTGTAAAGGAAGTAGAGATGGGTAATGCTTTAGTGGAAAAACTGCCTGCTGCAGAAAGAGACTTAACTTATTTACACAGAGTCATAGTGATCTGTTTACACCTTGCCTGCTTATTGACAAGATTATTACCGACATTAAGTGAAGCTGAATCCTTTCATTTGCATAAATCAACTTATAGGCTAGTTCACTTAGGAGTGCGTGGGCGGCGCGGGCGCTCTGTTCTGCACCTAGTCTGTTCTCGGGACTCAGCACTTGTTGGGCGGTATCCAGCTTGCCAATTTCCAAGTCCTGCTTTGGCAGATCTTTTATTAACTGTTGGTGCTGATGTTAATGTAAGTACTTAGTTTTCTGCTTCTTCATTTTCTGGTACTTGTGAAATATATAGGTTTCATCTATTTCTTGTTTCTCTCCAGGCTAAGGATGAAGATGGCAACACACCCTTGCATGCTTCAGGGTCATTCCATGATTTTTCTCAACACCTTCCTCGAATACTTTTGGCGCATGGCGCTCATCTTGATTATGTTAATAATTATGGTAATACTCTTGAAGACTTATTAGCGAAAAGAGGGCAGCCCCTCAATAGAATAGTTAATCCTATGCAATACACCCGTCTGACTTGCTTAGCGGCTCGTGTGATTCAGAAGCACAAATTGCAGTATGTAGGTATTGTACCTAAATCTTTAGAATCGTTTGTACAGAACCATTGACACACAACACCTTCAACCAACTCTTTACTCGTTTATATTTGTATCAGAAGATTTTGAAGCCACCAAGATACCGTACACATGTGAAAAGTATGTCTGTGTGGTGATTTGTTTATTGTTCTCACGTGATTCACATATCAGATATATTAGTCCGCATTTAGTAGACCAGCTTAATTGTTAAACATGAATTATCTTTATGTCAGGGTAGCGAGTAGGTTTAAATCCCCGTGCTCAGAGAGGAACTCGCGTCGCTACCCTGACACTTCACATATTTTTCACTTTTTTCACCGTTGTCCTTAGTTTTTTGATAGGAGCTGATAAGATGTGGGAGAGAGCACCTTTGCTGATTCTGAGTTGTACTCCAGCAACACTTTTCCGAGTGTTAAGTTACTGGCTGTTGCAGTTAGCCAAGTTGTTCCCTTTTCTTCCACTTTTCTGTCTTATCATGCACAGCTTTGAAAGGAGTAAGATATGTCAAGTTATTTTCTCTCTCTTCAAATTTTATTTCAACGTTTTGCATTGTAATTGTTAATTTGGTTGGATTGTTACTAAATTATTTTTTTAGTCTTATCAAGGAGCTAATTTTGATATTACCTTATAAAGCTGTCACTATTTGAGGGCAATAATCTTGGATATAAATTGTAATGTGTCAGAGAAGGGTTGACTAAAACGATAGTGTGGTAAGTCATTGCTATGTCTTGGTAGTGCTGAATTTGGAACAAGCAAAACATGTTGAAGCTCTTTCTAAGGAAACCATATGATTAAAAAGTGTCTCTCACTACTTTTTCTTTGTTTCATCTTTCAAGCATTTCTACTTTAAGTTGGCTTCACTATGTTTATGTTTGGCTTTTGAGCTACCTAAACCTGTAGATCGCAGATTGGTTTAGTGCTTTGGATTGAGACTTAGAAGAGCGCTGCCATTGCTTCTTGTTCTGAATTCTACATTATGGCTACCAGTACAAAGACACCAATACTATACCACCCGCCAGTGATTTATGTGATATTTGTGACCCCGACATGTGATGTTAATAGTCGTTTTGTTTCGAATGTGCAGTATTTTTAATTAAATCTTATATTTACATTGGAATTGTATACTTTGCTAAGGTTCAAATGTTCTCTTAAATTAATTTTGATTTAGTTCATCCTTTTCTCTTCTTTTCTAATTTTAAGCTGAATGTAACAATTCCAATCAACACTAAAAGGCCCACTAGAAGGTCCAAATGTATCAAAATAATTCATTCGCTCATTCAAAATGTTACATTTGAGTCTTCTAGTGTTAAGAATTTTTAGTCTCTGAGCTGATGCTATTCAAATGCCATACATTTCTTTTCTTATTGTTTATTTTGGAACTAATGAGGCTGTTTGTCTATGTGCTGTGAGTATTCATTTGTCTTGTAAACTTATTCCTTACCTCTATACCTCTGGTAGAGTATACATCAAGTACTGAAAACACCTGCTTTCTAATTGCATACAGGATGTACATTTTTAAAAAATTGTATTTCATACTATATTTTAAGAATGCCATATCTTGACACTTTGGCAGCATGCTCTGTGCAGCATTCTGAAGTAGGAATTTAAGTTCTGTTAGTGTGTCAATTTTCCAAGGAAGACCACTCTGCCCCACCATGACACCTATCAGCATGATGGTAGTTCTGTGTACGTATTGTGGGAGAAAAATTACTGGTTCATCATTTCTATGTTCTTGGTCATGAGCCCCTAATCATATTATCAAACTCAATTATTTATTTGTCATCTAGGTTTCCATGTTAAGCTCTGTTTTAGAAGTCATTTACTTTATGAGAACTTTGTCATTTATTTTCTAATAGAATTCAAAAAATAACACAAATTTTTATTTTTTGAAACGCATCTAAGTATTTATGTCATTGCGCACATAACAGTCTGTAGGAACTTGAGCATTGAAAATATGCTCTTAAATAAGATTTTGGAGAAAAGAGACTAATTTCTTTTTTTACCTGGTTCAATAGAAATTGCAGCCTTCCCTTTCGCCCACATTTTGTGAAATTCGTACAGCAATTATCCTTCCAATTTATGGAAGGGAAAACAAAGAAATGACCGTGGTTACAGAAAACTTAGCACTAAGCCTCAATATATTTCCAAAGCACTGAGAATGTACTGACAGCAAGAAATAACAACTATCCCTTGATGAACAGGTAAGTATGTAGGGAGAAGAAAGGGCTCACATTTCCTTTAAGTAAACTTATATTTTTGCTTGTCTTAAAGTTAACTTAAAAGTTACTGTCATGACACGGTCATTTTAACCAGACAAGTTAAAACAAGGATAATATTTGGTGAATTAATACTGATAATAACTAAACAATTATAAAATCTGAAGTCAAGTCTAACACTAAAAAGTCTCTTATTTTTTAAAAATAAAACGACATAGAACACTTTGTCAGTCATGCCTCACCTGAAATGAGAAAATAATTTCTGAGCACAAACAAGAGGTGTTTAAAAGTTACTAAGAGGCACTTAAAAGTTGTGTAATAGTCCAAAATCAAAGCTCTTCAAATAAAATCACAGTGGGAATCAGCTGTTGTCTTAAACCTGAAACAAAACAAAATTTGAAATAAGCTTAGACATGAAAAGATGACAATATGGAAATATCATCACAAGTTTTAGCAGGAATCAAACTATAACATGAGTTGGATAAAAAAGCAACCTCTAAATTAGTTGACGGACTTAAGGAATGGCAGAGTACACGAATCTACCAGAAAAACTTACATTCAAAGGGAGTCACATCAATCCAAAGGAAAAGTAGAGGACGTACGAGCCAGCATCAACACACCATGAATATGAACGAAGTTGGAAGGCAACCAATTGAGGGCAGACTTGACAACCCCAAATCAATCAACCAATTACACACCCTAACACTCACGAGCAACACCAACTGCCAGTTTTTGAAACAACACATCCAGTTGCTTGTTCATATTTTAAGAAATGAGTGCGTAGTAAGAAGTAGAAAAACTTGTGTGGGTTAGTTGAAAATTATTCACAACACAGTCTTTAAGCTTGTGTTCATTACAAGACCAAATCCATGGAAGATATCCCACCAATCTACAGCAGAATCAGTGGCAACAAACTGAAGAGATTGTGACTGTGTTGAACCAGCTATCTTGTGAAAAGTTAGAGAAGTTCCATGAAGTCCATTCAGGTGCTGTTTCTTCTTTGCATAAATTGAAGATTGATTCCTCTTAAGGATGGATGACCTTGCTTGAAACCTCTGTGAGATTACGCATACCTAAAGCTAGCTCCCTGGCACCACAAAAGTTTAAATAATTTAAAAGAGAAAAATGGATACAGGAAAGGAAAGAAAAAGCCCAAAACAAATACACCGATGATGAGAATTAAGAAGTAAGCATTCATAATCAAATGCAAGGGAATCAATTAAAATGCCAGCTTTGGTTATCAAGTATTTATTTGAATGAACTCAAAAACGGCAATCAACTTACAAAAGAAAATCCTGTGATTGTGTCTACAACAGTGTCATTAATATAGATACTGTACGTACGTACTATGTATCTTTTCGTAAACTTTTTTAACCTTCGGTAGTCATTGACTTCACTCTAGAATTAAATTGCAAGTGAAGTACACAATAACAAATATATGGTCCATCAAGAACAGCAAACAAAATTGGGCCAAAAATTTTAAATAAAAAACAACAAATAAACATGATTGGTTGCAAAAAATATCCAATGAGCCATGGAAGTCACTTATTTAAAAAATAATAATACCAAGCAAAATAATAATAGATTTTTTTTAAAAGGAGGAAAAGTCTTTCCAATAGGAGTACGCATTACTTCATCTTCGTGCAAATGCACAAAAAAAAAGAAAAGAAATACAGATCAACGCTGTAAAAGGCAATGGAAACTTCCATTCAGCACTTAATGCACCTGAAAAAAAACCAACTTCTCAGACAGTAACTCGAGAACACCAATATTTCAGACCCCATTGGCAATGAATTTTGCGGAATAAAATGAGCATTAAAAGTGTTGAAATTAACAGTATCGAAGTTGATGGCAAAGAATTGATCAAATGTGCTTAAGATGACCCTTAAAGCAAGAAGTTGCCATAGTAAAACTAAGAATCCACTGAGTCAGATCTCATCAAAATACAATTTTACCACTAGCTTAATCCTCTCTCAATGAAGTAAGTTCAGAAAGCAGAATTTCATTCTCCGAGTTCATTCCAAATCCTAGAATTAAAAACAGAATACGATAGGCAGGCTGAAAGTTTCTTCTGGAAACCAATAACAATGTGGACCAAGAAGAGGCACTAGGAAGAAGCTCCTACAGCAGACAAACCTACGCAGTCATAGTTCTTCACACAAGACATGTGCACAGACTTCCATATTTACAAATCAAAATCTAAACTAATCAAACGAGCCCACGGAGGCAACGTGAAGGAGGAAAGTAAACACTGGAATCCCAAGCCAAATCCAGAAATGAAGAGACAATCAATGTTGAAACCACCAAAAGGAGGAAGTGTGATGACTGCAGATGATGTCCACTGGACTCTGGGTAAACTCATCACCATCACCAAACTTAAAAACATCAATAGTCAGCATACATGTGTCTGGGTGCAGCATTTCTGTTACCTTAGTTATAATAAAACAGGACATCAATAGTCCGTCCATCAAGTCGAGTTCGATCAAGATCTCCTGAAAATAAAGTTAAGGGCAATATCTGTTTTTTTTTTTTTTTTTTAAATGAAGCCTGAAAAGAAACTATTGAAAGAAAAAAAAAAGGAGCAGCCATTTATATAATGGCTAAGAGGAATTATGCAGAAAGACGCACACTTGCACAGTTTCAAATACTGTGCAAATATGTGACAACTGTAAGGGAAGAACAGAATCAAGGAGTACCCAAGTAAGTGAAAGTGATCGCTGACCAACCAGACAAAGAAAAGACAGACAACTCTCTTGTGGGATAGCCTATCTTCTAGGTGAGGCTCAGCAAGAGAAAATTTCCTGATAATGTGGACCAAGGTGGAGGAAAGCAAACAAGAGCCCAATTTGAAAGTGGAAGCTATCAGAATGGGAGCTTCACCGGACGGGTGCAGCCTACCACGGGGCGAGATTGACGGCCGCCGCACTGATCCCCCCGCGACCTGTGGGGCAGTGCTATTAATTCATCTCGCTCAAGACACCTAGCACTCTTACTGCATCTGCCCGAAGTACTCCTCTGTTGATGAAACGAGATATTGATGCAAGGCTGCCTAGTAACAATACATAATCAGAAAAAGAAGGAAACTGATAAGCTACATGACTTGCCTTGCAGTTTAATCCTCCACCACTTCTTGTTTCACACTGGGCTCTATTTTGACGTTCTTTAAATAAAAGTCTTTGGGATGAACTAATTGCTGAAGATCTGGATCTGCTTTAATAATTAGAGATAAGCTGGCAGAATTATTTTGGTTTGAAAAGTCTGACAATTCCACATTCCAATTTCTCTCCTGTCCAAGCCGCACCTAAAGTTCAAAAAGAAAAAAAATATATATAAAAAAAAACATTTAACTAGTTGTAATTTTATTCTTTCCCTCACTAAAAATGATTATCTATCTAAAAATAGAGAGAAGTTTTCCAATATAAAATAAAATAAGACAAGACAATAAGGCAAGTCACAGAGCAAAGATAGACTTTTGAGTGGTGAAAATAAAGAGAGGAATACATATAAAATGGCACACAAATATTACCATAGGTCAAACTCAGCAGTAAGATTAAGTAATAGCAAGAGACTCGAGCATGAAGAACTTGGTGATTATCATGTACAGTGGGTCCCGCTCATAACGTTACCCGCAAATGACGTTTCCCGCACATAACGTTTCCCGCATATAACGTTGCAAAACATAATTCCCGAGTCAAAAATCGCGTTCATCCTTCTACCATTTAAAACATGCCACGTTTATAACGTTGTTTAACCGTGCAAGCCGGCCGCAACGTTATAGGCGGGACCCAATATTTGTAAGAGAACACAGAGGTTCATGATTGTAAAGGATACTGACTGCACGCTCTGCTTCCCAATCAGTTGAGAATTTGACCAACCCCGCATCCTTTCCTTGCATGTCAATGCTTAGAATTTCACCAACTTCTCGGAAAGTATCCATCAGATGGTGCCATGTTGTGTTAGGTGGAAGCTACAGGAGTAAAAAAAAGTAAAGAGGATGTGAGAAAATGGAGATCTTCGAAGTTAAACCAAAAGTTGCATCATATGACTTACATTTTTTACAATAACAGTATCGGTTGGTCGTCGGATGCTGCTACTGCCGGGCATACTGTTACCACCGTTGTTCCCAATACTTCCTCCTCGTCCATTACCTATTGGTCTTGATGAACCGTTGTAGCTCCACTCCACCTTTGATGGTGTTGTTCCACTTCCACTCCTGAAATTGTCTCGGTCCCTGTCGCGATCATGACCACCAGACACAGATTGAACACTTCAAGAGAAATATTCAAATGCTTGCTTTTGAATTTGGAAAAATATAACAAGGTGCACTTACCTATTATAACCACTTTGGCCACTCAAAGCAGCACTCATTGAATCAAAATCACGGGACTGACTGAAACTTGCTCCTGGACTACGCATCCCACTGCTCGAATTATTGAAAGAATTATTGTTACCACCTATAACAGCTTGAGCTTGGCTATTGAGGGGATTAAATGACCCAATACCTAGGAGAGAGAAAAAAACACGGGAGAAATGTGTTAACACAGTTTTAACACTAACATTTTGAAGTTCTCAGAAAAACTCAATTAACTCACCACTACTGCCAACTCCTAAACCAGATGCTAGGCTAGCATTGAGCCCTACCAAGCTGGCTCCCAATGCAGGGTTGAGGGTCTGACTTGTGTTTAAAGTGGGTCCACTGAATGGTTGGTTTGGATTGAGGTTGGTCAGTTCTGACACATTTAAGGACCCAAGAAGGCTACTCACACCCACATTGGTCAGATTAGGAGCTATGCTATTGGAGCCTGTCAGATGTGCTGATGGCAGAATAGGAAAACAAGAAATTGTTATAGATCGTTAGATCTTTTAACCCAGTTGTAAACTATATAACTGCAGATGGTTAGAAAATGTCAGAAAGCTACTAAAATGAGCAAAGCTATAAACTGTAGTGTAAACGACTGAGATTTTTATAATGATAAGCAAAGAAATTTTTTAGTACCTTTCCCCATTGTTAAATGGCATAGCCATTGCTCAGCCAGAATATAGATGTCATGACCAATAATAAGAGGTGAGCTAAAGTAATAACTAGGGAGAGGAATTACATACCAAGCTGCGCTCCCTGCAATTGAACCTGCGCTTGTGCTGCGGCAGCTGCTGCTGCTACTTGTTGCAACTGCTGAACACTCGAAATGCTTGGTGGCTGAGGACTTGTCATATGAGGCAAATTTCCTGCAAAATAACAGACCTCAATAAGGAATTTTGTTAAACAAACTTAAAGCAAAGCTATGAGAAAACTGAAAAAAAAAACTCACTGGCAACATCATATAAAACAGAGCCATTTGTACCCAAGCCCATGCCAATGCCTTTTAAACCTTCAGGCAACTTTGGAGGGCCATCGGTTTTTTCAACCCTGTCCATTCGTACAGTCAATCTTCTATCGAAAAGAGTCTGATTATGCAGCATAGCTATACATTTATGGTTAAAGAAACTACAGCTGTGGTATAACAGGAAAACTATGATAGTATAAAAAGCATTTGAATTCCATTCTTATGGAATAAAAGGATACATATAGCCTGGACAGCTTCAACAGGATGGTCATATTCCACTACACCAAAGCCTCTGCTTTTTCCTTCCTTGTCTACATTTATTTCAGCATGAACTACTTTTCCAGCCAGCTTGAACACTTCTCTCAACTTTTTCTCGTCAACCTTGTAGTCTAACTAAAATAAAGATAACACAAGTTCAAAGATCATTTTATCAAAACTAAGACACACATAAAACCAAAGCAGAGTTCAAACAATTGCCATATACTTACATTTGCAACAAAGACCTTGCTAACCAATGGCCCATTTATCCAAAGACTCTCAAGAAAAGAGGTAGATAGTCCATAAGTGTTGCCAAACTTTGAGGCATTTGAACTGCCACCAGAGGAACTTACAGGCGCAGAGTTGTTGACATTCATAGAGGACAATTGACAGTTACTGTTTCCTCCATCCCACGTCCCAGATCTGGGATTATCATCACGCCGACTGTTCATCACGGTATTGGAGGGTATGTCCCTCTCACTTGTTGACCGATTGCGGCCACTAAGGGGTCTTCCAAATTTGTCCCTCTCAGTATCAGAATCCTACATAAGAAGGCACAAAGTTAATACAAAAGAAAAAGTAAAATAACAGTAAGAGAACCAGACACTTACTTCCTTAACAACAAGTTTCCTTCCTTTGAGATCAAACCGGTGCATTTTTTCAACAGCCTTTGCTGCAAGCTCTGCTGTTGCAAATGCAACAACACCACAGCCTCGAGGCTTATCAGTTTCATCAGTAAACAACTGAACGTGTGACACTTCACCAACTAAAAATATCAGATCATAAAAACAGATTTTAATAACTTGAAAGAAGAGATTTTCAAATGAATTATTTATTTGAATACATCCAAATGCGAAAGTGGAGACATAACTGATAAAACGTTGTTCTTTAGTTTCCAAACATTGGAAAATAAGAAGAGCTCCTTGAATACTGGTAAGCACAAAAGAATTTAAACGCAAACCTTAATGAACAGACTTACCTTCAGTTCTGAACAAATCCTTGATATCTTGCCATTTGGACTCGTAAGCAACATTGCTCACATAGACGGTATGGTTCCCTGTCTTTCTCCGCTCTCGGACTGGACTGCGATCTCGAGTACTACTCGAAAAACGGCTTGGCCGGTCGCCCCTTCTAGATCTTTCTCTTTCTCTTCCTCGATCTCGATCAGGACTCCCTCTACTGCAACAGCAGCAACAATTATTAATAAGAAGGTGTCAGTAGAAGTCATGTAACCTAACTACACAAATGCAAATAGCAATAGAAAGCATAGAGTGATTGCCTATGTCCTGTAAAAACAATTCAAAACTAATTTTTGCACAGGTCAGTAAATTGAACAAGTCGGACAAATTTAAACCCAAGATAAACAGGTAGGTAAACAACGAAGTGTGCGAGTATGTGCGTGAAACCAACACAACTGATAATTTATGGTCCTGCACAACTCAAATACAATTCTGGCCGAGGGTGGCAAAAGAGCTTACTTCGTAGTGGACACAGAGGAGTCATAACTTGCCCTTCAAAATAAAATGCCTATTTTATCTGATTATTTTGGGCCGAGCGTGACAAGCCTCACAAGCCGGTAATGGAGTGCTAGGCCAGAGGTATAACTCCAAGCGGCGGTACTTACTCCTCTTTCTTCATTAGGCTGTCCATAGTGCCGAATTAATCCGATGGGCACGAATTATTACTAATAACAATCAGTAAATGCTGATGTACTCCACTGGAATAAGCATTAACGAACCGCTAGCCTAGCAAACAAGCCCAAGCACAACACAGCGCAAAACCAAGCACCAAAAAAACTCCAAAACAACTGAAGGCGCGGTTCGCAAATGTTGGCCTTGAGGCTCGATGTGTCTCCGTCCAGTGGTTACGAACGATAATCTTGTCCAACGTTTGTTTTAAAAGGTTCTGTGTTGTTAAATATATTGAATTAATAGAAAATATTTGAAAACAATATATTTATAAAAGAAACAATGAGTGGGAAGAGCGAAGAGCAGAAAAGAGAAAAGTGATTCTTTTTCCTTCTTTCCTTCTCTTCTCTGCTCGGGTTTTTGTTTCTTTCTTTCTGCTGCTTCTTCAACAGCACATGTGTCACTCAAGCAGCAATCATGAGGCTTGACCCTTGTTATTTTTGTTCCACAAAGATATTTCCCGGCCATGGGATTCAATTCGTTCGTAACGACAGCAAGGTAATTCGATCCAGCCTATTTTGAGTCGTGTCCAAGTTGAATTTATGACGAGAAAACCATAGCATGCCTTTTGGGGAGGTTATGTATTCTTTCTCTGTGTATTTTGCGTCCAAGATTGTTGTTGGGCCTCCAACTGTGCGACCACTTGCGTATTATCACAATATAGAAAATTATATGTTTGACTGTTTGTTATCTTCTTGAACGCAAATTTTGAGTGACCTTGTGTTTGATACAGATTTTCAAATTCTGCCGATCTAAATGCCACCGAGCATTTAAAAAGAAGAAGAATCCCAGGAAAGTATCATGGACTCTAGCCTACCGCAAGACAAATGGAAAGGAGCTTACTGTGGACCCCTCCTTCGAATTTGAAAAGAAGCGGAATATTCCTGTCAAATATGATAGAGAGTTCTGGATGAAGTCATGTAAGTTCATTAATATCAGTGGTTTGATTTGCTATCATTTCTGCTCCTTGTCACTTAACACCATTTTTTTGGTATTCTAGTGGAAGCAATCAGGAAGATTGATATCATCCGCAGTAGGCGAGCCAACCACTTTGTAATGCAAAGATTAAGACGAGCCCGAGAGATTGAGATGCAGCAAGAAGTCAGGGAAGTACAAAGAGATATGTCATTGGTTCGATTACCTGTTGCTGGTCTCAGGGCGAGACTTGCTGCTAAAGAAAGAGAGAGCCAGGTGGAAGAAATCCATGACTCAGATGAAGAAATGGAGGTAACCAACGCAGAAGAAATGGAAGTACCCAATGCCGAAGAAAGTGACATTGAAGAAGAAATGAATGAATCTGATGAAGCTCCAGAACTTGTTGAAGTGTTATAAAATCTATCTCTTAAACCTATCTTATATTTGGATCAGTGGTCTTTGTTAAAAATCCTAAGTTTCATATTAAAGATGTTTGAAAGGCAAATACGTTCTATAATACCATATTTAAGTATTCAAATAAGCTAACAATAAAGTCATAATAGCTCACAAGTTTCTGATTTCATTTTGAATCCATTAGAAATTTACATATCATGCTTAACATTATGCATGCATCACACATTGTGTGTGGAAATTGTTGAGCTTGCTATATTTACAGGGATTGTCGAAATCTCTTTGTCGACAAATTTCACTACTGATGTTAATGGCTATTAGCTAAGGACTCTGCAAATGGTGGCTTTCTTTCTTAGCGGAGTGGGCAATCACTTCAAACGTCATTCCCCGCGAGGACTGTTGCACTTTGTGGTGCAAACGAAATTATTGATCGTTTTGAGGTGTTTTTTTTATTATTATTTTGAGTGGGTGCCCAATACCCCGCTGAAGACTTTTAGCTTTGAGTTTACTTTCAAATAGGATTTTAAGGTTTCCCCCCACTCAAATGTAGCTTTCCGCGGACACTAGCGCAAGCGCACCTGGCTGAACGCCGCGGGTATAGGCCACCCATCGTGCCCAATCGTGCCCGTGCGTTCCTCGGGGGCGAACCCCAACCTTGCTATGTTTTCAGCTTTATCTCTCGAAGGGGAGGCTTTGCATGAGAATTAAGTGCTTTTTCTTTTCCGTGTTTCATATGTGTGTGTGTGTGGGGGGGGAAGGGGGGGGGGAAGGGATGACCATGACGATAGGACTTGGTTATCCGGGAGGCAAACGAGACAAGACGCAATTTGATAAGTTAAATTTATTACAAATATGAATTTTCGGTTTGAACCCTCTTAATTTATCATTGCGTTTCTTTACATACTATAGACGGTTTGACCTTTAAATTATAATGGACCTATATTTTCAAAGGCGCGAAGGAAGGCTGAACTCAAAAGCATTGGCTTGCCACCGTCATGCCTCTCGAGTCTGTTACATTTCGTACGTCGACAAACACAAAAGAGGGTGTTTTTGAGTTTATTACTGAATAAAACGCAACATACAATGTCAATTACAAAAAAAAGGTCCGACTGTTTAAAAAACGTACAACTGTCAAAAATAATTGATTTTTATAATTTTATGGGAACTAATATACTAAGTGAACTTTGTGGGAAATGCATGAGGGACCTAAGCCGATTTGAATGTTCTTCTGTAACTGTGACATAGGAAAGTGATGTCGCACACGTGCTCGCATTTACCGCGTTTTTCTGACACTTATTCACACGGTCTTCGTAAGAACACAAATGTAACGAACAAGAGGAATGTGTTGGTGGACAATGTAATGACACTAACTTATTAACACCAGCTTATTCAAGAAAAGTTACAATAAACAAAACAGATTTGCTACTAAAACATTCATGCTGCAAACAGGAAGTTTCTTAAAAGTACAGGTGAACTATGAATGTCTCACTCCGATCACTGTTTATCACGTTTCCAGCATAGGCATAGATTGAGGCGATCTATAACGTCCTGGAACTGTCGTTCAATTGCTGTCTTACGAATAAGCACGGACATAGCCTCACACGGAGCAGGCTAGAGACCGTTGCGTAACATTAAAGTGAGGAAGAGCCACGACGGACAATAAATAAAGCATATAGCATAGAGCCCGCACTCGCGAACCAATTCAAGTAATACAAAACAAAGACTTAAAAACTATTTTACATTCACGTAAAAACAAACGTCACTTTGACATACGATTTGTTCAGGCTGTAAATAACAAGAAGTAAAATAACTTGAGCGCTCGCACTTGTAGGTAGGCCAGTGAAAAGTTGTAACAATATTAGGATCAAAAAAAAAGGCTGCGAAAGGGAAGACCACACGAATCACATGACATCCAACCTTTCACATCGTTGTTCTCTGAATATTTACGTATTTTATCTAAGCCTCTACGTAGTTTCAGCTCTTTCAAGAAATTCATCATGCTAGGTAAAGACTGAACATAATTTTGTTTTGTTTTCCTCATAACACAAGACCGCAAGCGTACTTGCGCAGGTAACATACACACCGACTTCTCATATTCTAATCGAGGCATCTCCAAGGTAACACAAAACGCACAAAGGTCCTAATACATAATGGTGATGGCATACAATATCCTACAAAAATTTCCGTACTCATACACTCAATGGCGTCGCTTCATTTGCAACGTTCTTTCTCCTGCATCTCACAGTACAAACTACTACGTGCGTTGGAATTAATGTCTTTCTCGCACGAGTTTCTTGTATCGTTGTAACAACAGTGCAGCTTTGTGGCCCTCATGACCCCCTTGGCGTAGCTCACTTGGCCTGGTTGACCACGTCCGTGACCCCCCAAGATGGCCCTGCAGGTCCCGCAGGCCGAGCCGCAGGCCCTGCGCGTGGCACGTGGTCCTCGACTAGGCACTCCATGACCCTTCGGACCCATGTCATAGTGTCACAGGGCAGTCGTTATCAGGTACAGTAACGGCTGTAAAGGCTTCTGGTCACACTTTTCGTAAGCCTTCTTAAAAATTCGAAAATCAAGGAGTAGTGGAAGGGGAGGCATCGAGAGGTCGGTCGTCGCGGTGTCCGATTCGTCATCACGCCGACTCACATCGGCCGAAGACGGAGAGACGGGGAGCGTATCCGAGAGGCGTGTCTGACTCGCGCACAGCCGGCACGGCTCGCAAAACCATCGGACTCGGCGGGACGCGGAGGGACTCCCCACGGGCCCTTTGGGCCCTACGGGTTGCATCGGCACACGCAGCACGACGGGAAGAGGAACCAGTCCATGAAGATGCCCTTGCAGTCGTTGTCCGGGTCGTAGGCCAGCAGACGGTGCCACTTGTACTTCTGCTCGCAGCCGCAGTCCCCAGTGCATCGCTTCGTCTGAGATTTGCTGCCAAAAAAATGCACCATTAAGTGCTCTGCAAACTTTTCAACCGCCGTTATGTTGAACCCACTGGAGGCACAAAGAAATAAATGTGTGTGGCAACAGTGCGATAGGAACTGGTACTTACGCGCATACTTCTTGGTGGATGGCTTGCTCGAAGTGTTGCGTGTTGACTATGGCACGGATTTTGCCCGCAGAGTTGGACGCCCAGTAAGGCGTCACTATCTCCACCTTGCTCTCACAGGCATCGACCCTAAGGGCGAATTGGAAAAGGCAACGAGTCAAACGATTGCTGGCTCACGAGATCACGTGTTACGAACAATAATGAGTGCGGCAAGCTGTGCACCACTTACTTGCACGAAGGGAACTCCTCAGGAACGCCTGGCAGGCAGGCCGCCATGCGACATGCGTGTGCGAATGCTGCCTACCCACCAGGCGCTCTCGGGAAATCCCCGAGTATCGAATTTTTGCGATTTTTCTCGTTCCTCCGCTTACCTCCCAGTCTCGCTCTGCGATTGGTTGTTCCGGAAGGATTGTCTCGCTGAGCGGACCTTGCCGAAGAAGGACTCGGCCGCGTTGCCCGCCCTCTCCGCGTCCTGCACGGGGTCCGGCGGCGGTGGGGTGTCGACGTCGGCCACGGTGCCGTTGTTGTCCTCGGCGAGGTGCTCGGCGTCCCGCTTGGCCAGCGACCGTCTCCTGGCCGGCGCGCCGACGTGCACCCCGGCAGAGGCCGACGCACCGCCGCCGGGAGGCCCCGTCGCCGTCGTTGAGGCGGGCGTCTCGAACACCTCCCTTGCCGGCGGGCCGTACTCCGTCGTCATTTGGAACTCGCCGTACATCCTCCGCATCAGGGACTTGTTGTCGTCGATGAACCGCTCTATCCTGTCACTGCAAGGAGACAAGCTCGTTAGGAAGGCCGACCGCAGAACGAAACCGCCCCCTCGGAAACAGTCTGGCGAAGCAGAGCGGTGCGCCCAGATTCTGAGATGGAAAACGTTTATTCTTTGCGATATCCACTCCAGGTTTGTTACGAAATCCTACGGGACAGGTGCACCTAAGATGCTGCCCTATGCCCATAGTGTAACCCAACCGTATAGTTTACTCCCGAGGAAATGTGGAAACGTACCAAAGAAGCCCCGTTTTGGGGTGTTTTTCTGGCGGTCCGTGCCGCGTTCCTATCGGCACCGCATCGCGCAACTCCAAACAACAACCACAAAACAACCCGGGGGCGCATCGAGCTAGACCGCCTGACGGGATGGCCGTTTTCAAATCCA